AATTGGGAATTTGAGCTTTAACGACCATTCTTTCAAAAACCATACCCCAAACCACATTACAACCCAAAGCAAAAGTCCTTTTTGAAGGTTTTGAAACTTTAAATATTTTGATGATTACAATCACTAAGTCAAAGATAGCATGGAGGGCATGTTGAGCTTAATATCCTTTCTTTCAAATTAACCAAGTCAATGACCACGTTACAAGCTGAATAAAGTCCTTATCAGAGGATCTGAAAGCTTTTGAAATTCCAATGTGGTTTGAGTGATAAAAATATATGATTGCCTTAAAAAGCTGGGGGCAAAAATTGAGAAATTTGAAGCTGAGCCATTTAAATGATTCAATGATCCATGAGTTGAAGATATCATCTTTATATTTTGTGAAAGAAATGATTATAATTTGTTGAGATAGCAAGGAAAAGATTCTTCTTCTCTGTCAAGAATTTCAAACCTTTCATCTTTTGTCAAGAATTCCATTTCTTTCATCTTAATCATGTCATCCATTCATACCTATCAATTCCATCTTTCTTTGTTCTTATCATTGTATCCTCATAATAATAATAAAAAAAAAAAGAGCTTTTGTTTTATTCATGCTACTTATAAAGAAAGTAGAGATAACTCACATGGAGTCAAAGCAACAAGAATCCCAAGGGAGTGAACTTAATTGTTGTCATGCATGATCATTTTGAGCAGTGGGCATATGATGTATTCAGAAAATCTAGCCATTGTTGGTGATATGATTGAGTTAATTATAGATGCAAGCATGCAATACAAACTTCTAATTGAGGGGCAATTGCAAACCTAAGGGAAATTCTTTTTCCAATAAATCTGCATCTCAAGATCACAAGGTAAAACCATCTTCAAACTCCTTCATGACATTTCCAAAAGCATTTCTATAAAAGGCAATTTCTCAACTTATTTTCAAAAGCAATTTTTCAATTCATTTCTACCAAATAAGCATTCCATAACATTTCTGTACCAACATGACACATCAACATAACATTCCATTTCATTTTCTTGCCAAATAAGCATTCTATTATATTTCTCTACTAACATGACATTTTACTACTTTTGTCTGCAAGCATGACTTTTCACATAACTTTTTGTGCAAACATTTGAGCTTTTTTTCATCCCATTTAGCCCAACATGCGGCTAGCATTTCATTTATGCCCAACATGCGGCATTGCATATCATCAGCCCAACATGCGGCTCGCATATCATTCAGCCCAACACGCGGCTCATTTCATTCAGCCCAACACGCGGCTTTACATTTCATCAGCCCAACATGCGGCTCATTTCATTTAGCCCAACACGCGGCTAGCATTTCATTTATGCCCAACATGCGGCATTGCATATCATTAGCCCAACATGCGGCTTGCATCTCATTCAGCCCAACACGCGGCTCATATCATTCAGCCCAACACGCGGCTCAT